AGGTTACTTTAATAAGCCTTTCTCAGTGATTTTTAAGACAAAAGAAAAATCAATAAGGATATAGAAAATGTGACTAACATGATTAATAAACTTGACCTAATGAATATACACAGAACATAAAATTAGAATGTACATTTTTTTGAAAGCAAACATGGCACCGTCCCCAAATCAACTGCATACTTTCCTGTAAAGCAACTCTCAACAAATTTTAAAGATTGAAATCATTCAGCACATGTTTTTTGACCATTATGCAATTAAGCTAGAAATTAATAAAGAATTATAACAAATCCATATAAACCCTAGTCAGAGAAGGAGTCATAATGATAATGAGAATATATTTTGAGCTGAACAATAAAATACAATAGCAATGACTGTGGGATGCAGCTAAAACAGGACTTAGAGGAAGATTTATAGCCCAAAGTATATTAGAAAAGAGGCTAAAAAGTCTTTAGCTAAAGATCCCTTTTCAAGAAGTCAGAAAAAGAGAACAAAATTAAAGAAAGTAAAATGACAGAAATAATATTAAGAGCAGGAATGAATGAAATGGGAAACAAAAGTAATGTGCCAGAGACCGTCTGTACTGGTACAGGAGAGAAAATTATGCATACCTCTCCCCTACTCCATGGCCACTAACATCAAATTAGTGGCTTGAAATTGTCCATGATGATAGTATTCACTCCAAGGAAATCAACAAACAGGCTGGTGTTTTGTTTTGTTATGTTCGGAGCCAATCTACTAGCAGACCACTGCATACAATGGATTAAAAAAATCCAAAAGTTGATTCTTTTTTTAGAAAACACTAATAAAATTGACAAATATCTGTTAGTATTGAACAATACAAGGAGAGATGTTAACCTATATCAGTAATGAAAACTATAGACATCAAAAAAGTTAGGACATCTTATGAACAATTTAATGCAAATAAAATTTAGGTAAATGCACAAATTTCCAGAAAAACACAACTGGCTGACTCAAGAGTAGAAAATAGGAGTCTTCCTAAGCCATAATTTAAATCAGTAGTAAAGAATCTTCACACGCAAATTCCAGGTCCACGGCTCCACCACTAAGTTCCTTTAAACTTTGAAATAATTCCATCCTTATGTATGAGGCTGCCATAACTTCTGTACTAATTACAAAATCCCCATACTTCTGAAACACCAAACTCTTTGGAACTCATTAGGTGAAAAATGTGATTTAGTGACATGAAGCTCTTTCTAGTCATTATTTATATATTACTTAGGTGACTACATATGTTTTGCTGCAGAAATAGTAATGTTTGAATATTGCTTTTTGAGTAGAGGTGCTCTTCCAGTTCTTGTTGAAAGTGTTACATAAATATGCTGTATGTGTTCCCTAGTACTTTTCCAACGTCCAAAAAAGTCTGTATTCCAAAACATATCTGGCTCCAAGAATTTCAGATAAAATGCGTGGACCTACAGAAGAATGTTTCATGACTTTGGGGTCAAGAAGAATTTTTTTTTTTAGCCATAAAGAAAAAGATCAATGAATTCAACTACGTTAAAATTAAGGACAAACAATACCATAAAGTGAGTGGAAAAGACAAAACCACAATGTGGGAGAAGTTTGTAAAACAAAGAATTGGTACCCAGGATATATAAAGAACACTTAACGAATCAATAAGAAAGAGAAAATGTAGTTTTTAAAATAGGCAAAAGGCTTAAATAGGCACAGCACCAAAGAGGAAATACAAATGAGCAACGTAAGAAAATACCTACATCCACGTTAGTAACCACAGACATGAACATTCAGATCGCAGTGCACACTGTTAGACACCAACCAGACCCAAGAATAATTAAAAAGTCCGACAGTAATGAAAAGATACAGAAGGACAGAGAGAATTCAAGCAGACTCCCTGCTGAACATGGAGCCTGACATGGGGTGGATCCCATGACCCTAAGATCATGACCTAAGTGGAAACCAAGAGTCTGATGCTCAACCATCTGAGCCACCCAGGCGCCTCTATTTGTCACAATTGTTAAACAAATAGAGTAGTTGTTTAGTCTGGAAAAGGTCATCTTTAGTACACAGAAAGGTAAAAATGATCATACAGACCATTTATAAGGCGATTACTAAATTTTTAACAGATTTAACATTTTATGTACTCTTCTAAGTCAAAACTCAATAGTTGTCCATGCGGTCACCCATACAATTAAGCACTTCCTAGTGGTCAGCGGTACACCTAAGGCGCAGACAGTGAAGAATTACTGAAGAGGTTTGAAACAGAGCCATAATGGTCCCCACCCTTACCTCCAGGGAGGTCCGGGGTGCACCAACTGAGAAACACGGATGTATCCAACAGCACAAAAACAACCAAGGAAAGGGAAATTTTGAGATGTCGATAAGGCAAACAAACCCAAAATAATGCAGGATAAGAACCGCAAAGGCCAGATTCCCCCTCTAAAATCTGGAAGGCTGTGGGCAAGTAAAAGAAAGTGGTGCCGCAAAAGGATTTCAAATGCGTCGTCTTGACACAAAGGGAGTGTAGTCTCCCAGCCTGTCTGGAGGAGAGGGGAGGCGGGGAGAAGTCAGTGTGAACAGGTGGGAAGAGTGCTGTGCTGGCCCCGCCGCCCAGAGGAAACTTCCTGTGGGTGGATCTCTAGTCTGAACAGAGCAGATCCCCAAACCACTGCGGGGCAGGCTGGACAGACCCAGGAGCACCGCACGTAG